AAAGAAATCGAAGATCTATTGAACAAAGGTGCTATAAGAGAGGTCAAAAAAGATACACCTTGTTACATTTCCCAAATTTTTCCAATTCCAAAGAAATCAGGAGGAAATCGAGTATTAATAGATCTAAGGTCACTCAACAAACATGTACATTACATACATTTCAAAATGGAAACAATAGAGCATACAAAATCCTTAATAAAAAGAGCAAACTATTTTACTACTATCGATATCTCCGACGCCTTTTTGCATATTTTATTATTATTACAGGTACAACCTTACTTTACCTTCGATTTTATAAATCAGAGATACCAGTACACATGTTTACTTTTTGGATTAACTAGCAGTTCCAGAATCTTTACAAAGATTCTCAAGCAAGTAGTGTCCTGGGCCAGAACGAAAGGGATAAAACTCATAGTCTACCTGGATGATCTGCTTATATGTGCAAAATTGAAGGAAGAGGTGAAACAACATACAAATGAAGTTACACAGATACTGAAGACTCTAGGCTTCATAATAAACTTAGAAAAATCAAAACTAACACTGTCAAAACAAGCGGAGTATCTAGGATTCACAATAAACTCAAATACTATGACTCTAGCATTACCCAAGTACAAGATAAAGGACATTCTGAAAGATTGCAAAATGGTGTTCAGGTCACCAACCATCCATGTAAGAAAATTGGCAGCAATCATTGGCAAGCTCTCAGCTGCTATTGGTGCAATCTTTCCAGCTTAACTCATGACAAGAGCATTATTGAGAGACAAAAACCATGCATTAAAGGTCAATTGATGGGTCACATACCTGAATATTTTCCAAGAAAGCATATAGCAGCTACAGTGGTGGACAACGAACTTAGTAAAATAGAATAGAGTCAACATCATTCCAGATATTTCAACAACAGTGATTTACACCGACGCATCAAAAAAGGCTAAGGAGTAGCACAGGGAACATGGCTGCTCTCTGGTTACTGGGACAACCTACAAAAATGCTTACACATCAATATTCTGGAACTAACAGCAATACATTACGCTATTCTAGCATTCAAGAACTTGAAGGATCAAGCAGTGATGATTAGGACCGACAATACTACATGTGTAGCATATCTAAATCATCAAAGAGGAACAATCTCTCAAAACTTGAGCATACTAGCAGAAAAGATTTGGAATATATGCTTAACCAGAAACCTAAAATTAATAGCACAGCATATTCCTGAAAAACAGAACATGTTGGCAGACTTAGCATCAAGGATGACGATCGACCGGTATGATTGGATGATCAAGCCACAGATATTTTATAAGATTCAAGTGAAGTGGGGCCCTTTTCAGATAGACCTATTTGTGAACAGAATCAACACCCTACTTCCAAACTATTTCTCCAGATTCTCTGACCCATACTGCTTAGTGATAGATGCGTTAGCCCAAGATTGAACACAAATAAAAAGATAGGCGAACCCACCGTGGATCTTGATATACAAGATTCTATCCAAAGTAATGAAGAACAAATCAACTGTAGCATTAGTAATACCTTACTGGATGACTACATCATGGTTCCCAATACTATTAGACCTTCTGATAGATCTCCCAATTCTACTGTTGGACAAATACTCTTTATTCTGGGGAGAACCAGCAACTACAACCCGATGAGAAATCCAAAGTAGAAGATATTCGTATGTCTTATCTTAGGCAAAGACTCTCTAAAAAGGGTTTTTTACCAGAAGCTGTCAAACTGGTGGAAAGCATAACCGAAAAATCATCAAATAATACAATCAGCTCAGCTTTTAAAAAATAGATTCTTTGGTGTGAAAGATTGTCTATTGATTCCATTCAATGCCCTGTAGGCTATGTTGTAGATTTTTTAACCAAAATGAGTAATAAAGGCATGGCGTACAACACCATAGCTTCTTATCGATCAGCTATTAGCGAAGTATATAATTTAATTGACAATACAAAAGTGGGATGTCATCTGTCTGTAGCTATGATCATGCTAGCAATATACAAAAAGAGTCCACCTGCACCTCCACCAGAAGACACTATAGATATAATCCCATGCTTCGAATACATAACAGCGATGAGAAATAATAATAAAATGTTGATTATAAAATTGATTAAGAAAACAGCATTTCTTGTAGCAATTACCTTAGTAGCAAGTCCAAGTGATTTGCAATGTATATCACTAAAATCCATAACCACAATAGAAAATGGCTACTCCTGTAACATTGAGAAACCCAAGGAATATAAAATCTCGATTGCCCATGGAGGTAAAAAATTAAGACAAAAAACGCTTATAATAGAACGTTACGACGACGAACCTCTTTTATGCCTGGTGGCCATGGTACAAGCACTGTTAGAATGCACCAAGGATTGGAGAAATAGCAGTGAAAGAGAAGACTCTTTATTTTTAACGTCAACACCCCACATAATCCTGCCTCAGTTGATACGATTTTTGGTTGGCTTAAGAATATAATTACAGTGGCGGACCCAACGGCTAAGGCAAAGGACTTAAGAGTTATATTAGCATACCTAGCGCAAGAATCAGGGGCAGATACAAATGCTATACTGGCCTTTGGCAATTGGTCTTTATGCGAAGTATATAAGAAATTCTACCAAAGAGGCATAAGAAAAGCACTCGAATGAAATCATACAGCAAACAAGATCCTAGATCAAGCAAGAGATAAATAATACTCCACAGAATATACATGATATTGTCTATCATAGCATGCGAAGTTCATTTCGACCAATGGTCAAGTATTAACAAAGATCATTGAGAAATGGATGAGCATTGCGAAGATAGACAATATCTCGCCAATACCCACACTATAATAATTATATATGATTATCCCACCCTATTACTTCAGCTTACATATAAAATGGCCTAAAGAGAGAATTGCTTAGTCTAGTTAGATATATACATGTAAAAATTTTTTTTTAACTATTAATATTGTATAACCTTACGATGTAATAGCAATAGTCTACAAAGTTTGGGGCAGCCAATAATAAAATAGGCCCAATGCACGTGATATTGTCTATCTTCACAATGCTCGTCCATTTCTCATTAATACTCGACCATTGGTCGAATTTGCCCAATAATGGCGTTATCCGGCAATTTATGATCATGATTGGTAGACAGCATGAAAAAAAATTCTTGAAAAATTTTGGAAAAAATCCAGTAAAAGATGAAAATTCCGGTAATTGGTTTTTTCACAGTAATTAGCTAAATTAAATTTCCGGCACTTGTAAAATATTCCAGAAATCTGCTATAACATAACCGAAAAATTTCCGGGATTAAAAAAATTTACCGGTTTTATTAGATATTAACCGGAAAATTAGAATAAATTTTTCACGCTGTTGGTAGGGAGTCGCTCGCTGAGTTTTAATTTGAATACTGGAATAAACATAATTACATAGTAACACATGAAAAAAATAACAAAAAGAAATTTTTTCATGATCATGTGAGTTTGCCGGATAAAATTTTTTAAACTCTTACGAAGTAATTACTTTGGGCTTTAAATTTTCTCTCTTTTGCATACTGCGTGTACTATGATAAAATAATTGTGGAGGTTAATGTATAATAATATAATAATCGGCTGAGAATTACCTTGCAAAATTTTGCATAGTAGTGTAAAACCGGAAATTTCAAACTTTAAAAACTATCGACACCATAGTAATACTCTATAAATATTACATTGCTTAATTCGTTTAATTCATGACGCGGGTTTCTATCGCTGGTTGCTAAAGTAAAAATCTTGACATTGAAAAAAATTTATATCTTAATTTAAAAATTTCTATATACGTATTATATTGTACAGTACATGTATGTGTTACCTAATATTAATTATCTAGAATGGATTAGCGTTGCAAACTTAAAAAATCAAAATTATTTGTATTTTATAAATGTTGATTTATCGTTATTTTACTACGTATAAATTTTTTACATACGTATGTACGTATTAAACTTTTTATTAATCTAATTACAAAATCGAATTCACCATTTATTTCGAGCATTCTATTTATTTACTATGGTCCATATTTCCAAACGAATTTAATTTTTATTATATGTAGATAGCGATAATCATACGATAAATAGTGCGATTTATCAAAATTTTTGAATTACTGTAATTTTTGTGAATACTGTAATTTTTGTAAATATTGTAATTTTCGCATTAATAATATTTTTTCGTAAATTGACCTATTTTAGCAAAGCATTGTGCAGTAATTTTATTATTAAAATCATAAAATTATCTGTAGAATAAATTTTCGATCTAAGTTTGAATCAAAAAAATTTTTTTTTAAAAAAAAACTAAAGAATTTAAAAAAAAAAAAAAATTAAAAAAAAAAAAACAAAAGAATAAGATCTATAATAGAATTATAAAATAAATTCAATTATATGGTTTTAAAAAAATGCATAAAACAATTTTTTAAGTGCCGCATCACAATTCACTTCCGCTGTTAAAAGTAAGTTATCTAGACTATCGTCAAGATCATGAACACTTCTAATATGTGTTTTAAATTTTTTGATATTAAACCGGCGACTTTTTTCACAAAGACGACATTCAAAGATTTTATGGTTTCGAAAGTTACCAACTGTTAACGCCCCATCTATTTCAAGAAAATATGGTGGAGGGGCTGTCCCAGCTAAGTCAAGCTGTGCAGCTTCCCTTATTAGAGTTGGTAAAATTACTCTTTCGAAAAATTCTGGATCATGTGTTTTGAGGTCCGGTGGACTTATGAAACTTGGGCATATAGGTAAATATATATATAGTTTATCCCGAATGCTTAGAAATTCATACTGTGATCTTCTCTTTGAGGCGTATGTAAATTTCTTTAAACGTTTAACAATTAATATTCGTTTTTGAATTATCTCAATTCTTCGGACGATTGGGTCAATTCTTGATGTATATTGCTGCCAATCTAAATAAGGATTATTTTCGACTTCTGTCTTAAATTTTTTGTATTCATAATCTTCTTTCATCATGGTTAATATTTCTTTATTCAATCCTACGTGCAATCTGAAAAAAATTTCTTCTTGTTCTCTAAGGTAGGATTGACGTAAATTAATCATCCAATTTTCATAATTTTGCGCTTCTTCACGTTTCTTTTCGACTTCTTTTTTTAAGTCATTTAACTCGCGTCGCATATTATCATCTGCATTCATAAGATACGCGATAACATTCTTAACATGGTCGTTCCAATAATGTGTATGTTTACGTATAGATCTTGGTAAATCCATGTTACGTATAGATCTTGATAAATCCATGCATTGTGTTACTGGTACAATAAGTTCAAGAACTTCATCATCGATCTTAAAAGTTGATCCGAGTATATGAGAACTATTAAATATTATTAATAAAATTTTATTAGGATTCAAATTATTATAAAAATATATAAATATATATATGTGTGTGTATAAAATAGTAAATTAATTTACCTAATAATTCTTGGGACCATACAGTCCTTGCAAGAGCGAACGCCAGGTATCCAATAGATTGCCAACGGTTTCTCTTTATTTTTACAAAATTGACAACCTTTCTCAAATGTTAATAGTCTCGTAAAAGTTTTTTGATTCATTGATGACGGCGGTTCCATTTCTCGAAAAATTGTAAACTTAATTCTAGAATTTTTCCAAATTTCCGCGGCTAATGGATTGACATTTTCGTCTAAAACACCTTTGAAATATTTGCACACGCATACCATCGCAAGAAGATCTGATGGCCGCAAATTATAACAGACAAATATAAGTGTTTCTGCGTTTACGTCTTGCATTTTTTTTTTACAATATCTTTACGAACGTACGTGTATTATCTGAAAAAAATTTGTTTTTATTTTATATGAAGGTTAGCTGCAGGGGGTGAGAAATTCCGCTGATCTGATGATAAAAACGACCCACGAAAAAACGGGTGCCGGACGGATTTGCCGGGTTACACATAATTTCGGATACATCATCTTTTGCCTGGTTGGTGGTGCATTAATTAACCACAATGACCTCTTTTATTCCAGTATGTACAGTACATTCGTAAAATTGAAAACTTCCACCATGTGATTTTTCATCCGTCCTGTATTTTGATTGTTTTCTATTTTTTATGATGTGAATGACGTATGGATTCTGTGATCATGCCGATCATGTGGCACAGATCCTATTAATAAATTCGAAAGTTTCTTAAAACTTCTAGCGATGATTTCTCAAACAAGTTCAATAAAAATTTTTTACTTTAATTATATAGTTCTGTGTAATTAAAATAAAAAAATTTATTGAATTTTGTTCAGCGGTTATTGAGAAATCATCGCTAAAAGTTCAAAAAAAAAAACAAAATATCGGAAAAAAACTAAAATCAGGTAAATATTTCCTTCTTGAACTTTAACCAAATATTTATCGACAACCAGCAGTTCAAATTTGATGAATTTTTTAATGCGACTATACACGGGTTGTTAACAACTACATCAGTGAAACTTCCACCAAATATTGCTCTCAATTTTTGTTTCAAATATTTGTCACAACCACTGTTCTAAATATTGAGCACAACCCTTGTTCGAAATATTTGCTGCAATAATTGTTCTAAATATTTACCACTATAGCATTCAACGGTATTCCTTCTTCTCATGGATGAAACAATAATGAAATCTTCGTCACAAAATTATTTCTTCAAGTATCATTATTTCTGGCTGAATCGATTCATCAAAGTTTTACCCTCTCCTTTGAAGCAAAAGAATTACGTAATTGGTTTGCATCCTTTCCCCGCTGATATTTCTCAGAAGATGAAGGAAGCCTGTCATCGCTCATGCTTCTTAAAAGATTAACGTTCATGTTGGAGACTTCCAAAGGAGAACATTTTGGGACAATTAATGTCTTCTTAAAAGATTAACGGGTATAGTACGCGTCGGTGACTTTCAAGGAAGAACCCTATCTGCGTTTAACGGCATTCCTTCTTCGACATTTAATCGGTGATTTTCAGAGGAGGACCCTCTCTGTGCTTCCTTCTTCTTGTGGATGAAATCTTTCGTCACAAAATTATCAAAATTATTAATCATCAGAGGTTTTGTCCTGAGAAGTATCAGATTAAATAGTATATATATAATTATAATGACATAATAAATTAATTTTTTATATATATTGTGGGTCGATTCGGAATTCTCAAAACAACTTAAGTAGAAATAGAATTTTAAAAATTTGTGAGCAACATAAATTTCGAAAATAAAGAAATATATAATTTTATAGTTCTATTATTTATTTATTTATTTTTACGAAGCATTATATTATGAAAATTTTCCGATTTTAAAATCTTTGAAAAACAAATAAGATTTTTCAAACTCTCATTTAATTTTAAAATGCGCCACTTATTTATTAACTTTGAAACCCCCTAGTATATCGTTTTTATTTTAACAAATTAATTACGATATAAGGGAGACGGGGTATTGTGAACGGGGGTATATTGTGGTCAAGTAAATAATATCTTAGTGATCAGAATCAGATGATTTTTGCACCATTCGAATTGTCTCAAAGAGACGATTCGAATGGCGCAAAAATCATTTAATTCTGATCACTAGATCACAAGATATTTTTCACTTGATCACAGTATCCTATCTCCTTTATGTTAAATCTGTTTTACCATGTGATAAACTAAAACGTAGAGCCGTTAAAAGGTTATGTCAGCATCAATAATTCATTTCGATCTTGTTCAATAAAAATTTTATTACTTATAACCCTGAAGTAATTGAATTTAATATCTTTTGTGTTCATAGAAGATAACTCGACCGAACTTTTCTCTATTATAAGGTTATTTCCTATTCGAATTAATAGTCAATAACAAAGTTTATTTAAATCTAATATAATTATTACTATACACTAATTACGAACATTTCTTATTTCCAAATCTGCCTATTATTACTACAACAACCAAGCCAAATTCGATAAACTTTTTTTTGAATTCTATAATCCGTAGAATTCAAATAAAAAAAAGTTCATCGAATTTGGCCTAGTGGTTGTCGAGCTCAAATTCTTAAAACGTCTATCAAAACAAGCTGCGCCAAATTTTTTTATTTTTGAGTGCCGATATCTCGGTAACCACCAATGAAGTTTTTTCTTATTCGAATTCGTAGATTCAAATAAAAAAAAGTTCATCGAATTTGGACTGACTCAACGTCTATAAAGTAGTGGTTGTGCCAAAATTTTTTTCCAATGTTTGAACGAAGATATCTTAACAACCACTGTGTCAAATTCGTTGAACTATTTTTTTATTTGAATCTTACAGATTCTTAGAATCTAAATAAAAAAAAGCTTGCCGAATTTGGCTTGGTGGTTGCCGAGATATCTTCGCGTAAAGAATAAAAAAAAATTCAATGCAGCTTCTGTTTTGATAGACATTTTTTAAGAATTTGAGCGAAGATATTTCGACAACCACTAAGCCAAATACGATGAACTTTTTTTTTATTTGAATTCTATGAATTCATAGAATTCAAATAAAAAAAAAAAGGGGCATCAAATTTGGCTTGGTGGTTGTCGAGATATCTTCGCTCAAATTGGGGTATTGTGACATTAGTTGGGAGATGTTCGATGGTTCACTTGACATTGAATTTAGCTTCGATGATTCACTTGACATGGGATTTAGTTTCGATGGTTCACTTGACATGGGTTTTAGCTTCGATGGTTCACTTGACATGGGATTTAGTTTCGATGGTTCACTTGACATGGATTTTAGCTTCGATGGTTCACTTGACATGGGATTTATAACACTTGTACAATGATCAACACGCTTAAATTATCGGGATTCAGGGTGGGTAATTATTCGTGATGTAATAATTTATCAATTTAACGGGAGGAGTAATTATTATGTAACAATAATAATAAGAAATGCAATACAGTTAACACAACAACAATAAAATAATACTGTAAAATTATAACATTGATAAATCGATTCTTATTATAAACCATTATTAACTTTACCAACGCAATAACTCAGGCTTTAAATGCATTTAAATTTTTATCATGAACTACTACTGCGCTATCTTCTTACGCGACTACTTTTATTCATAACATTTAAAGCAACACTGCTCGCGGGCCAAGAACAATTCCCACAGCCTTGGCCAACAACGATTGTTGCTATGCCAACAATAACTGGTTTATCCAACAATTCATGATCAACAATAACTGGTTTACCTCCACATCATACGATTATATTCTAATATTTATCGTATGTTAGATAAACAACCACCGGAATTGATCTGTATCTTTAAGCCTTCGTTCGCCACCTAGGAGCCTCACAATATTCTTGTGGCTCGGGTCATTTGAGCTTTTAGTACTACTAAGTCACATTCAGTTAGATTTTAAACCGTGACTGTATGAATATCAAATTTGGGAGTACAAACATCATTCTTTTTAGGCATTTGCATGAGAATTCGTTGATTCTCAATCGCCACCAATTGGAGAATAAACTAAGTGGATTTTTAATGCAATAAGTTATTAAATTAATTATACAGTAGTGATGACGTGACATAAATAAGAAAAAAATAATAATAATGATCGAACCGAATCTTGAAAATCTACGTTAGTCAAAGGAAAAATATTGTTGTAATGATGAGTGTTTGAATATTCATATTTTCAAATTCTCGATATTTGATACAAATGAAGAGCTTCGTTTAATTAAACAAGCTGAAAACAATTTAGAGACCCAAATTTGTTCCGGCTGAAAACTTTTGTAGAATAATTTGCACCACGCACCAAGCGACAGAACGTGCAGGCCAAGATAAAACTTGAAAAAATTGCATGAAGTTGAAGATGCAATTTGAAACGTATAGCTGTATCATTAGACGAGCTCTCAAAAAAAGTTTCACCAATTCGTTCAATACTGTAATTTCCGAAGGTTTTCTAACTATGTACAGGTAAAAAAAAACAATTTTCTAATATATACAGTAATTTATAAATGAATTAACATTATAAGCTGTTTAATTTTGATTTAATATTGTTAGTAATCAACGATTTGAAACTATTTGGATGAAATGATCCTTTTTTTCACAAAAAAAAAAAGAAGCCATCCCGAGAAAAGGGACTCGAAAAAATCGACTTAATTTCTGTTATTATACAAAAAAAACTAATATTAAAGTTGTTGTCAAAAAAACAATTCACTATGTACAAGGATGTGTGGATGTTTCACGCGATATTTTTTTTTTTTTTTTTTTTTTTTACAAAATGTTTATTTTTTTTACGAATTTTATTAGACAAAATTTTAAGTATCAAAAATACATATTTAAATTTGTATTTATTTACGTTTACCGATTTTACCAATCGCAAAGTTTACGCACGTTATTTTAAAGTCACGATTGATATACGTGAAAATGACGCATATTTTGTCCCACATCAAGGGGTGTTACAAATGAAAAACAGAATGAAAAACAAAATGAAAAAACAACTATGGGTTATCTGTCTTTTCCGCTCACGTGTTATATGTGCTATACGTGCTAAGCTACTAACAGTGTAGAACTCAAAAGCATCGAAAGTATCTGTTCTAAAGCTGGTGGTTTTCCAAAGCCATTGCGTATAATAAGGGGCGGGCGAAAAAACCAGAACCCTAAATAATGATTACTAACATTACTAATCGCAAATACTACGTCAATACGTCATAGAATCATATACGAATCATACGATAAATCACAATAATGCATTAAACGAAATCATACGATAAATCATTGTGATGCATCAAATGACTAAAGTCATACTATAAAACATCAACGATCAATTACTATACACCCGTGATCGAGACAAAATGCTGCTTTATACTTTCGTATCGGGCAGCTAATATTATAATCAGACTTTTTTAAGTGAACTTTTGGGAGGGATTAAAAAAGCAAAGCGTGTATCTAGAAGAGACATAAATGTAGAAATATTATAATAACTGTATGTATCAAAATTCAAGATACTTCAATAGTTCCGTTTCATATGCAGGGTTTGATTAGTGCTTTAATATTTTTTCGTTATCAAGGCTATCAATTAGAAGTTTTTTTAATGGGTGCATTACAATTATTGAGCAAAATATCAATATACTGTTTTAGCAAAATACTCCTTAAGTCAAGATGTTGCAGTAAAAACTTTAAGCATCGGAATAAGCCGAACGTAACTAGTTATAACTCATCATAACGTGGTTTTAAAATTATGGCATTTTATAAAATATAAATATACTGTATTGTTACAATATGTCAATATAGTTATACCATGTCGGAACTCTACTATGTACTGTAACTTAACTTTTCATATGCCATAACTTTATAATTTTATAAAAGGACATTTATTTACAATATATCTAAAGTAATTCGGTATGAGTTAATTTATCTAGTTGCGTAAGGCATTTGATTAGCGTCAGAGAAGTACTTTCTAAAAGTGAATTTTAATTGTCTTAGTTTTGCGAAGAACTTTAGCGAAGAACTTTGTTGGGTGTGAATATTTTTAAATTGACTTGGTAGCATAAAGACTTTTATGATAGGATTTTTTTTGTCTTACATAAACTTGTATTATTTTTATTCTTTGATTGTTACATCTCCAAATATTTCCAATGTCAACATATTTCCAAATTTATCCGGTTTAGGTCCACCACGACGCTTTTTTTAGGTAAATTGCACCTCTTCAGACTGATAATTATAAATACTATTGAAGCGATGTATCATTTTGATGGTTGTTGAGAAATATTACTAATACTATTAGTATAGATTAATTTATATATTTCGATTGTATTATTTTGAATTATTATAAAACGCACCTATGGTGTTTTAGCACCTATATATAATTTCTTTTAATAAAATTTAGAGTTAGGGTTAGAAAATTAAAAATTATTTTTTTTTATATAATATATTATATTATAGAGCTACTATAAGGGCCCGATAGAGCCTGATCTCAGTTTTTGTAAGGTTTTTGGGGTTCTGAACATTTTTACTTAGAGAACCCGATCCTGTTTACTTAGTACGTTTTTGAGAAACGGAACCATAGATGTAAAAACACCATAGGTGCGTTTTAGTAAAATCCATTATTTTTAAGCGTATCCATTATAAAAAAGGGTTCACTAACAAAATCTGAACATTAGAGATTCTCACATTGTGGAAGCAGGGTTATAACCAGAGGGTTTAAATGGTAACCCCGTAGTTGGGTTGCATCTAGTGTAGAACCTTAGGGCAGACTACTTAAATTAGGCACCGTTAAAGCAAAAAAGAAAAAAAATTTTTTTTTTTAATATAACAGAGGCAAATTTATTTTATTTTATTATTTTTATGACGTAATTATTACATTTAAATTATAGTTTAAATTGAAATTATTTTAATTAACAAGTATAGTTACCAAATTTCTTCTCATCATTTACATTAGTCGTTATATGCATTTAATAAATTTTTGTGTTTCATAAAAGCTTAACTGATTTTAAGATTCGTTAAATATTTCTCTTCAAAGTCGCATAAATACCGTTTCAAAATAACAAGATTTTTGAAAATCCATAAATTTTACTCGAAATATCGCATATGCACAGTATTTGCGTTATTCTGATGAATTCGCATTAGTAACTTTCTGTTTTATATACGTATAGTAATATGGGAAAGAAAACGGTTTACCATACAAGCAGAATTAGCAATTTACTTCCATGTAGGTTTGAATTTACGGCAAAATATGGTAAATAGGTAAATACATGTAGGCAAAAGCTTAGTATTATCAATTTATGAAAGCAAATTGTGCTAACACAGCATTCACGCGAATATTTCCATCGGCCATTTTTCGTGCACAAACTACAATAGACTCTGTTTGCATCACCATATATATTACAAGCCACCTGATCCTTTACATGCACAATGTTTATATAATTCAGTGATTTGACCTTTACTACATACGTGTGATCTGTTGTTTACACTGTTACATGATGTGATTAAATTATTGAATGTGATTATTATAGATCTTTTTTTGATTTGTACTAGAATTAAAACGCTGAACCAGGGACCCGTAAAAATTTGGATATCAAATCACAGATCTTTATTTGAATATCAGCAAATATTTAAAAAAATTTAGATAAAAATTTTTTAATGTTTAAAATCGCAAAAAAAATTTTTTTTATTAAAATTTATTATTTGCATTAATTGAAATCAAGGACCCTTAAAAATTTGGACCAATATTAGGATAAAATTTGAGTAAAAAATTTAAATATTTGGAAATATTTGAGTTATTTTTCATCAGAAAAGCACTGCTGACCAATCAAATAACCCAATTTTTGCATAACTAGGACAAGTGAAGAATTTTATTTTAATTCTGAAGCTTTCTGACAGACACACCACAATTTCTAAATCTTCTGACTAGACTTTATCAAAAATTTTGGGCCCATGATTTTCTGGGTTCCCAAATACTTTATTTTTATTGGATAGAGATCACATGTTTTTAAAAAATTGCCAAAAATTTTGAAAAAATTTGGCTAAAACACAAAAATTTGAAAATATCAAAATTAAGACCAAAAATTTGAAAAAATTTGGAAATTTTTGGATCCAAATTTTTATGGGTCCCTGTGCTGAACTCTCTATTAATAAGTTTGTATAGAGAATGTTTAATATTTTATATTGGACTAATATAAGATAGTTCATAGCTTGTTATTAGAATTTTTGTTGACTGCATAAAATAAACTACTTTTTAAGATTATGGATATTTATCATATCTCATTTTTTATTAATTTAATTTGCATTAATTTAGTAAAGAAATATTGCGATGTATTTTTAAAATAAGCTATCACTAAATTAATTTATTTTTGTTCATCTTAATTTTAGGAGTTAATTTATAACATGACATATTATTAATGACTTAAAGATATATGTTGTTAGTAAATTATTACTTGGTATGATATCTGCGAAATTATTGTTGAAGTAAGACAGTTTCGTTAATTTATTTATATATTTGGGGAAATGGTTTTTTGTGCATCTCTATATTACCCTTATATGCAAATTTACCAAACATTCACACACTCTTCCCAATGATCACTTTGCCCAAATTTGGAGCTAAAGAAACTCTGTAAAAAAGTTACTATGGTACTAAACTAACAACTAAATTAGCCTTAGGAAAAAAGATAGAGCAAGGAAATTTAATTACAGTTACTTAGAATAGTTTTGTTCTTTAACAACCAGAGCTTATA